ACGCCGTCCTTTCGTGTGTAACCAATCAGTCCAACGTCATTCCAACGGGTTCTGCTACGGCTATCTGCGTTCGCGTTGCATTCCTGACTACTTCCTACGAGATTGTACTTCACACTTTCCACCTTCAATCCTCGAACGCGCTCGCGCTTCCGCCCTTCGATAAGCACCGCCGCTTAGGCCCGAGAACTCTCCGACGTCTTCCCGATACACGTCTACCGAGGCTGCCGCCGTTAGGAAAACCCACCTGCGAGACCGCCGACACTTGATCGGAGGGCGTATTCGTGTTGTCACAGCTCTCCGTGCCACTAGTCACGAGTCTGCGCTGGAACATGCGCACTTCGCTATAACGACAGGCTGCCTAAGTACGCTTCACGGGCTTGTCCCCGGCCCCTCATATAACGTATACCCAAGCGACGCATCGGCATCAGAACAGACAGCTACTGGACATAAGATATTCACCCACACGCCAGGTGCCTCGCGCGTCATCATGGCTGCACTGGGGCATTATGCGCAAAACCTCCTACAGAGGCGAGATGATACTTCTCCAGCCCAAGAGCTCCTGACTCTTCTGCGGAACCCGTTCAAGCAATCTGTGAGAATTCCGACGTCGACATGATTCTGTTGAGCTGGCTGCTGACCTCGAAAGCTCACAACTGGTGCTATATGGTCTGCGCTGGGCACATCTGTCGGGTTTACCCTGCTCATCACCATCTTTTTTTCCTTCGTCCGCCCCTACAATACTATTGTATACGCTCCGAAGCTCAAACATGCCGATGAGAAGCACGCGCCGCCTCCGATAGGGAAGGGTTATCTTGCTTGGATCCCCCCGATATGGAATACAAGCGAGAAAGACATGATATCTCATGCTGGCATGGACGCCGCCATCTTCTTGAGGTTCACGAGGATGTGTCGAAATATCTTCCTGACCATTGCCCTCATCGGCTGCGCCATCCTGTTGCCTACCTTTTATCTCCTCAACAGCGATAAGACGGGTGACCAGCAGTGGTTCATGAGGTTCACGCCATCCAACGTATTCGGCCAGCCCATCTGGGCAATAGTAGTAATGGGCTACATTGTCAATGCTGTCGTATGCGGTTTCCTGTGGTGGAACTATAGGAAGGTTCTGGAACTGCGCCGTGTTTACTACGAGGGCGAGGAGTACCAGCGCAGTCTCTCGGCTCGAACTCTGATGGTGAGTACATCTGCCTTTGCGAGGGCCAACGCTGTGGCCGCGGCCGACGAGTAGCTGACGCTTGCCTAGCTGAATGACATACCCAGGCAAATGGGCTCCGATGAAGGGATAGCGCGCATCATTGATAAAGTTGTGCCACATTCGTCCTTTTCGAGGACCGTCATTGCTCGGAACGTGAAGCACATACCTAGTTTGATCGAGCAACATGATCATGCGGTCCGGAAACTAGAAAAGGTCTTGGCTAAATATCTCAAAGATCCACATAACCTCCCTTCGGCTCGGCCCGTGTGCTATCCTTCCAAGAAGGACCCGTCCTTCAGCACCTATCCCAAGGGCCAGAAGGTAGATGCCATCGATTACCTCACCCAGCGAATTAGGGAACTCGAGATTGATATCAAGGACGCGCGAAATGGCCTGGATAAGCGCAATACTATGACATACGGATTCGCGAGCTACGATGACATCTCGGAAGCTCACGCCATTGCCTATGCTTTACGATCGAAGAAGCCACAAGGCGCTACTGTTGTCCTGGCCCCAAAGCCGAACGATATCATATGGGACAACATGCCGTTGAGTCCGGCTACCAGAAGGTGGCGAAGACTGGTCATCAACTTCTGGATCGCGGTGTTGACCATCCTATGGATTGCCCCCAACGCCATGATCGCCATCTTTCTGGTCAACTTGAGCAACCTTGGACTGGTGTGGCATAATTTTCAGATCCAGTTATCCGCCAACACGGCGTTCTGGTCACTGGTTCAAGGTGTGGCATCGCCCGCTGTTACTTCCTCGATATATCTGATCCTCCCCATCATATTCCGGCGACTATCCATCAGGGCTGGCGATCGGACCAAGACGGGCCGTGAGCGGCATGTCGTGGCCAAGTTGTACGCGTTCTTCGTCTTCAACAATTTGATCGTCTTCTCGCTCTTCAGCGCCATCTGGAACTACGTCTCGTCCGTCCTCAACGACACCCAGAAAGGATACGATGCGTGGGATGCCATTGTCAAGGAGAACTTTGGCAGCACCTTGTTCATTTCGTTGTGTGATATCTCGACTTTCTGGGTGACCTGGCTTTTACAGCGGAACCTTGGCGCGGCTATTGACCTGGCACAACTCTGGCCATTCATTTACCGCTTTTTCATGCGCAAATTCTCCAGTCCGACGCCTCGGGAGTTGATCGAGCTGACAGCACCGCCTCCGTTCGACTACGCGAGCTACTACAATTACTTCTTGTATTATTCTACCATCGCCCTCTGCTTTGGATGTCTCCAACCCCTGGTCCTTCCATCTGCGGCACTCTACTTCTCCGTGGATGTATGGTTGAAGAAATACTTACTGCTTTACGTTTTCGTCACCAAGACCGAGTCTGGCGGCATGTTCTGGCGCGTGCTGTTCAATCGGTGTGTCTTCGGGACCATTCTCTCGAACTTGGTTGTGTTCCTGGCGGCCTGGGTCAAGGGAGACGGCACACACATGATGGCTTATGCGTCAGTCCCCTTGCCGTTCATCATGGTTGCCTTCAAGTTCTACTGCGCTCGAGTCTTCGATGCTAAGATCCACTACTACTCGACACGCAACGTCCACACCCATCCCGAAAGCAATGTGCTCAAGGATCCATTGCGTTCCACCAACCTGGCGTCTCGATTCGGCCATCCTGCGCTGTACAAACCCCTGATCACCCCTATGGTGCACGCCAAAGCACAAAACATCTTGGCCGCTGTGTACAAGGGACGTCTGTCTGACGGCCGAGAAGCCTACTCTGGCGATACGATGTCCACGTCCGGGTATTCAGATGCATACATAATGAATCCAATGGCCAGCGGCAAGCCTGGAAAGTCAGCCAAGCTCCCCGGCTTCGAAGTTGTTCCCGAGTCTCGGCTTGATTTCGAGTATTACAAGAATCGGCCAGACTTCGCGTCGGAGCATGGTGGCGGTGAGATTTACGGACGATCAACTGATATCTTCCGTCCTGGTACGCCTGGCAGTACGCTCAATGGTAGCGACACGACTTCGCAGCCGGGCAGTCCCACATTGCCGATGATGCCACGCATTGGGAGTCCTGGCCCGGGACGGCCCTTCTCACCAATCTCCGAGGCAGGGGCCGGCTACCCGGCGGCTTACTCGCAGTCGCTGGGCAGTCCGTACTCGCATTCTATAGACCTGCCCAAACGCGCGCGGAGTCCGTATGCGCAGGCGAACGACAGCAGCACCAACCTGATGGGCCACGCCGCCGACATGCCGATGGCCGCTCCTGGGTCTAGGGAGCGCAGTGTAGAGCGGTCACGGACGCCCGGCGGACGCGGGATGCTGGGCGGCGGCCCGGGAGGCTACGGCGGCCTGCCGCAGGAGGAGGACATCGGGACCGCCGAGCACGATCCGATGAGCTACAACTACTTCCGAGAGACGCGATCCTCGAGACGCTCTGGCGCGTGGTAGGACCAACGCCGCGCCGCTCACCGAGGAGGACCAATGCCGCGTTCGACGACATAGAGGTGCGTGAAATTACTGGAAAGGCTAGCGATATCATCATGCTGTCCCTTCGTGGACCACAGGAAATGGCGTTCCGGGTAATGGAGATCGGTATATATCCTCAGGCGCCTGGCAATGGCGAGGACGACTTGAGGGGGTCTAGACATATGGCAGGGATAGAGACGGATGCATCGAGCAACGGCAGCTCGGCTCAACGGCAGCTCGGCTCCACGGCCGGCGTCAGAGGGATGGCCAGCATGTATACCTAGGCTTAATCACAGCAGGCTATACATGCATAATACGCAGGCTTTCGAGACAAGATCGAGGCAGTGTTGGGTCAGCCACCAAAATAAGCATTGTTTTCTCATCAGCCTAATTTTGTCCGTGTGCGTGATACGTGCACGCCTTCTTCGGAGACCGAGGTTTCTAGAGAGTAAAATCAGTAAGAGACACGGAATATTGATTCATGATGGATGTCAGCCCATCAGAGTGAAATTCAAGTATCACCGAGTACTTAAAGTACATTGAATACAACAGCAGTAGAATGGCAACGCATTCTGTAGTAGGTACAGAAGGCAAAGGAAAACGAGCCGAGAAAGGAGAGTCCTCGGCTCGAGAAGCTGGGACAATAATATATACTCAGGTATTTAGGGAATTTATCTGCGGACTACGCTTCCATAGCTCTATTCCACAGCAACTGATACCAGGCGAGGTTCATCGGCCAAGGCATCATGTCATTGCGGTTTCTGTGGTCGAAATTCAGGCTCAATGGCGAAATAGTTCGGGTAGCTTCTGGAAAGGGGGGCTCGAAGCATCGGCAATGATACCATGCAAAGAATTAGTCCAAAAACCATCCAAAACCGCAAGTATGACTCGAAATGGTCTTGCAGTGAACTGGAGTAAGTGGGAAATGTCAGAAATCGCTCTACTCGTTATAGTACTCATGTGCGAATGTGTTGACTACATTTCCTGCTTCAGTCGTTGGCCGGTGACGTGCCCGCCTGCTGGATCTGTTGAGGTAACCGGGGCATCGGAAGCACCATGAAGGCCTCAAGATGATTTAGAACTCCGCAGAGTGAACCAGTGCCTGGGCGGGCTTCTGACCCTGAGAGGGCGACCTCGGTGACTGCGAGCGCCACTGGTGATGTGGCATCGACAGCAGTGGCAAAGCAACCGGCCTACCTACCCGTGTGGTGAGGAATATGGAAGGCCCATTTATGAGGAGTTGATGCGTTCGAGAACACACCTCCCTGGGTCTCGAGTTCTCGAGGTGTTGCGGTGGAACAAATACGCAATCGATCATTTACATATAGCAGTTGATAGAAGCAGGACTACCCAAGGACGTGTAGCGCAGTGGTAGAGCATCTGATTCCAGAAGTAGACAGCTACTGGTTCATCCAGAAGGTCATCCGTTCGATCCGGATCTCGTCCTACACTTTTGCATTTTGTTATCAGTGCACTTGCTGGTTTGTTGCCTATGCTTGCCCATTTACTCTGTAGTCTAGTTAATTCTGACTCTGGCACACTCATGTATACACATAAGGAAGACCTTCTACCTCCGGATGACAGCTTGGAAGGCTGATCAGCCAAACCACCGCTTTCTACTTCACCAACTACGGGAACGGGCGGGAGGGGCGGGAGGAGCGGGAGGAGCGGGAGGAGCGGGAGGAGCGGGAGGAGCGGGAGGAGCGGGAGGGGCCCAGCCGTGAGTGTCCCCATGCCCAGGCACCATAAATGGATCTTCCCAGTCGACCTTTCCCTCGACATCCAGGGGGTAGTGAAAGAAGTTGTCCATCACATTCTTCCGACGCTGGAACCAGTCCAAATCGCCGGCCGACCAGCCGAGGCCGCTCAGCTCGTGGCCTTCGATGATCTGCCTGACCGCCTCTCTGTAGGCCTCGACCGTGGCGACCCGGCTGAAGTGGACGAGGCGCTCGCAGATGGCCGCCCAGTGCTGCACGTGCTCGGCGTCGAGCGTGCCCTGCATGATGCGGATCTCGAGGGTCTGGTGAATCCTGCTTTTGTAGCGGGGGTCGCTCGTGCGGTTGCCCACCCCGGAGACGCGGTATTTCACGCCCGGCTGTTGGCCGACGTCTATGTCCTCAGGCACGGCCATAAACTCGCGGAGCTCGTCGACGGTGCGGCACAGCCACACGGCCTGGACCGCATCGAAGAGCTCCTGCGTGACGGCCTCCCGCGTGACGGCCTCCATGAGCTTCTCCGTGGCGACGTGCGCCTCGAACTGGACGAGCTGGCGCCGTCGGGGCGACCGGGCCGTCCGCGGGCTCTCGCCCACGCCGACGCGCGTGGCCTTCCGGAGGCGGTCGCAATAGAAGGCGTCGGACCGGTCGCGGCGGTGCAGGCCGTAGAGCGTGTCCTCGAGCAGCAGCCAGAGCGCAGTGAAGCGCTTGAGCTGGCGCAGCGAGAAGCCGCGCTCCTGGCCGAAGTGCAGGTGCAGGCCGCTGCCCATGAGGTCCGCCGGCTTGTGGATGCGCAGCGCGTTGCGCAGCGCGGCGCACACCTGTTGCACCCGCGGCCAAGTCTCCGCGTGGTTGTAGTCCAGGATCGGCGAGATCACCTCGGCCCCGAACCAGCGGTACAGGCGGGGCGGCTGCGCGAACGCCTCGCCGCCCTTGGGGGCGCCGGGGGGCCGCAGCGGCACCGAGTCCGAGTCGGCCGGGATGAGGTACCACCGGCCAGCGACATCCGCGTCCTCCCGGTGCTTGTCGACGCCGACGGATGTGTCGGACACGCACTGCCAGTACTGGTAGTCGTTGCCCTCGACGCCGGGCATGCGGACCGCGATCGGGTCCGTCCGGTCGTTGTCCGCCTCTCCGTGCTTCTGGGCTGCATTCCACAGTCTTCGTTGCGCCATCCCATGCCATCGCATGGCGACATCGACCGCTCGTGCGCGCTCCAGACCCCTTTCTTCCATCGTATCGGAGATCTTGGCTCGACATCTTTCCAGAGCCGCGAGAGGGGTTTTGCGGAACTCCCAGTCTCTCCCGAGGCCGCGAGTGAATTGTTCCCACTCTGTCCAGATGGCCTGCTTATGGGCTTCGACCCTTGTTCTGTCTCCTGGGGCTGCTGAGGGCGTATAGGCGATGTTCCAACTGTCTAACGTCGGGTCGGCATCCGGCAACCCATCTTCTATGCTGAAAAATTTCTGCCCGGCGTGTTGTTTGTTCGGGGGCCCGGCTTCGGGGATTTTCACATGGTTGGCTTCGACACCTCGCTTACGCAGCTCAGTTATGATCTTCTTACTGCAGCTGTATATCCACGGGGCCTTGTTACCTTGGGCCTTGTTACCTCTCGCCGCCGGATGCACGTCTATCAACCTCCGCGACTGCCATCGAGTTTCAGTGGGATGCGGGTCAGGGCAGGCTTGCTCACAGGGGCAGACGGCGAGCGCAAACTCGAATTCGATACCCATGGTAATGCGGTTGCTTCCGTCTTGTTCTTCATCTTCCTCCTCTTCCTCATCTTCCTCCTCTTCCTCTTCCTCTACCTCAATTCGACTTTTTGCTTTGGCTTTCCCCTTCCTCGACTTTTGGGGAGTATCGCGTTCATCGTCCTCCTCTTCCTCTTCCGCTACCGCTTCCTCTTCCGCTACCTCTTCCTCTTCCACTACCTCTTTCTCTTCCGCTACCTCTTCCTCTTCCGCTACCTCTTCCTCTTCTGCTACCTCTCCCTCTCCCTCATTTCGACTTTTTGCTTTCGCTTTCCCCTTCCCCGACTTTTGCGGAGAATCGCGTTCATCTTCCTCATCTTCCTCCGCTTCCTCTTCCTCATTTCGACTTTTTGCTTTCGCTTTCCCCTTCCTCGACTTCTGGGGAGAATCGCGCTCGCGGTAAGGCCTCTTGTTGTCGCGAGGACTGCGGGACCGCTGACGCCCAGGGCTACCCGCCCGAGCGAGCTTGGTTCTCGCTCTGCTTCTCGTCGTAACGTTGGGTCCCATTTTGTGATGTTCGACTTGGTATGTAATGGCGCTTGAAGATGAATACGAGATATTCAAGGAGCGAATGTTACAATGCCCCGAGGGAATGAGGCAGGAGTCCCATGAAAACTCAAGGTACTGGACCAACCCGAGCACAGGTCGCGAATTTCATTGTTATCAAAATCAATTCATCCAAGGATGTCGCGGCAAGTAAGTTACCACTCTGATGACAAAGGAGCCCTTTCAAGCTATCTAGTACTTTTCTCGATCAATCTTTCCCGGCTGTTTAATCACAATCACAAAGAGGAAGCAGAAATGTCTCGAGTTCCCGAGCCTGGCTTTGTAGACCATACCTCGAAAGCTCGCAGCGGTTGATCCAAAATGAAGGACTACTTTGATTCTTGGTCGACGAGTCCGGATAGTCAATAGGTACAATGGCAATCTTGAAATGCACGGAAAGAGTGCAAGGCGACCCCTTTCGCAATCCTACCACGAGGGTTGTAGGCTGTTACATGTAATGAAGCTAATTCATAGACAGTCAAAGAAGCTCAGTCTAAGTAGCATATCACTCGTGATATCAAATAGTAGACTGACTCTATTATATGCAAGTTATAAACCGTTGCATTATTAAAGGGCTTTTATTTAGAATCATCATATTGAATCGCCTCCTGGGACTACTACTTAGCACTTTCAGAAGAGTTGCACTAAGCCTAGAATCTCCAGAGATAGGAAGCTGGGATATACTGTAGTTGAGTCTGTTGGATAGACTATCAAGAAGTGCAAAAGAAGTTGAAACGACTGGCTGCTTGATTAAAGCAACGGTCTTGAGTACCTACCTAATCAACTAGAGACTACTAAAACAGAACACGTGGAAAGAAGTTACATCAATGACCGACACGCCGGCCCCACCCGGTGCCGGCAACGAGCTCCATGTCTCCATTAATGGAGACAGAAGGCCACGATGGGCCAATTCAACTTGATCCAGTACTAGTAACGACGTTCCCGGACCTTCAATTGCGCTGCCGCTCGATGTCGTTTTCTCATTACACCAATCCTCAGTCTCAGTCAGGCTGGTTAGGTTGAATTATCGCCCAGAAATTGCAGTTTCTGATATACCAATCCTGCTATCAGAGCTACTTATGCAGTCGACGAGGCGCAGATGGCGCCCGGCTACATACCAAGATGATGACTAAGCCGGCACGGAGTTCATAAGACCTCTTCCTAGAAACCTACTACTCCTATGTATCAGCGGTGAAGGACCAGCTCCTAATCTCTACACAACTGTACGTACTATCGCCGCTGTATACCGGTATACTACTGTTGCTGGGCTGCTGTGTGTATTCTAAACCCGTGAGCCTGCATAGGACCGAGCTTATTGAGTCTATTCCCATTATGCAATATACCTACTCTGGTTATATCCGTATATCGCGGGGACGTCGTGCCAGGTACTCCGCAAGCCTGGCCAATTGTATTGTCCCCCCTCAACGTCAGTCGGAGCTACGAGCCAAATCGCGGGCATCGCTCGAGTCTTTCGCGCCGCCTCCCCTTTGACATGACTTGACTATGAGAGGTCGCGGAGGCGCCAGAGGAGGCAGAGCGCCTAGAGGAGGCCGAGCGCCTGCCGCTCCCTGGAATCGACTGAGGCCGGTTGATCTGGATCCCCTAGAATCGATGGGCTTGCCCTCCAAAGGGGACAACAGGTGCTTGACCACACTCCCTCCCTACCTGGGTGCAGCGCCTGTCTCTAATCACGGGCCGCTAGGTTGCTCGACTTCAAGACGCAGGAACGCTATTACACCCGCATCGTCGAGCGATACATGACCTTCTGCTCCGACGCCGGGGAGCGCGACGAGCTCCTACGCCGCTTCGCCTCTCTCCACCTGGCCTCGACCTCTACCCGGGAGAACCCACTGGCTTCGCCGTCCACGAGTGACTTGTCCTACTATCCTGCCACCCCGCGGCCTTCGATAGCCCCCGATGTCACGCCGAGCAACACCAAGGCCCTGTCCGACGTCCTCTCGGCGCTCCGGAAGCTGCGCGAGGGCATTGTCGCCTCGAAGCGCGTCGATGACTTCGCCATCCAGGCCTACCTCTTCTGCATCCGCCTGGCCGTCATGGTCAAGCACTCCCAGTCGTACCACCCCGCCATCCTGCACCTGCTGCGACGCATACAGCCGCTGCACAGCATGACGACGGTGGAGCGGGGCGAGGTGGTGGCATACCTTATCCTGGACACGGCCTGCCGGCGGAACAACCTCGCCGAGGCCTTTGCCCTGCGGCACCGCTACTGCCTCAAGGATGCCAAGGTCGACGCTATACTCGACTCTCTGACGCACGACAACTACGTCGGCTTCCATCGCCTGAAGCGGAGGGTGGATGGATACAGAGCCAAGCTGCTGGAGTACGCTGAAGACGGCATGCGGCGGCACTCGCTGAAGTGCTTCGGGAGGACCTATCTGAGCGTGGATCTGGACTTCCTGGAGACTTCGACGGGC